TTTACTTTTATGCATGCATTGTTTGTTTTTGTTGACAATTTATCCATATATATGTAAGATAAAGAACAAATAGGAAATGTTTATTAATCTGACAAGTTTCACTTTTATTAAAGCTTCATCAGAGAATGAGATATAGAGAAAAAAGAGAAAGAAATTGATATTTTTATCTTTGTGTTGTTTGATTTTCATTGGTTAACCAGGTTTCATGTGCATTCAGCTGGTTAAACAAATGTTAGTATAATTTATGGCATTCCAAATTTAAGGGGAGAGACAATGCATCCCTTTGAAGCTCCAAGAAATTAATGGATTCCAAGCCCAATTGAAAAACTGTAAATATTTTTTGTATGTTTTTTGTATGCAAGTGTATAATTGACCGCCTGATGATTGCATGAAAACGTATGAAACTGGCAGTCATGGTTGATCACTGCTCTCTTGAAATTTGATTTAAAATATAATAAAACTCTGCCATTTAATATGGCATAGAGCCCATTTTCTTATGTACAACCATAGCAAACTCTTTTGGGAGGTGTTTATCTTTATTATTACACACATACAAAAAATTGAACTATATATTAATTATGGCCTTTGGTCTTTTGTCAGTTTAGTTTCAATGCCCATTGTTATGTTAGGAAATTAGTAATATATTTTTTGGCTTCTCAAAATAATTTTATACTACTGCATTTATTTCATCAAAATATTATCAAATCCCAGATAATCAATCCCCACATATGGGGAAAAAATTTCAAACACTATGAACATCTCTAGAAATAGCTAAAAATGTTATAATTTGGTTGAAACCAGAATCAAGAGAGAAAAAGATTTATTTTTCAAGAATATAAAATAAAGAATTAGAATTTCCAGCTGCCATTTCACTTCTTTGGGCTCAGTGATAAACTCAGCTAAATAAATATTTATAAAAGGGCTGTTTTGGTCAACTTGACATTGCATAATAGTAAACTTCTTCTGCTATTATTTCTGTAGTGAATTTTATCCTCACTGAGACCCCACATATATATCATTGTGTTAGATACAACTGATTTTAGTAAATACTTTGAAGGAGTTGTGTCTCTTGCTCTTTCATATATTTTATCATCTGAACAGCATGAAGGCAAGAACAGTTGATAAAGTGCAAGCTGACCTTCATAAGAGAAAGTATCTTGTCTTTCTTTTTTATTGTTAAGTTCCTTTTGTCACACTAAAGCAAACTGATATTTTAAACTAAATGAACCTTGTACCAATTTAAACTTCTGACCTGGAAGTAAGTAGGCAAATGACTTACCAAGACAGAATATTGCTGCTGAAATATTTTAGTAAAATTAGTTTTGGAATATTAACTTTGGGATTTTGTTTTCAACATTTTTAATTATTTCAATGAGTAAATGCTTTTTTTCTTTTTAAATAATATTTGTGTTAAACTCATTTAAAAATAAGGAAAATTAAATTTAATATTTTCTTTGAATTTTTATATTTTGAAGCTGAACTTTTAAGAATTGAAAATCTATCACTGCTTTGATTCTTTATCCTCAATATTTACATCACATTTGTTTTAAAACTTCCACTTTTTTCATTAATATTAGGATCTGTTTTATTTTCTTTCTTTGGATAATATTAGGGTATTTTTTCTTTTAGATAACATTAGGGTATTTATTTTATAAGATAACATTAGGGTATTTAATAAGCATCATGGTTTTGATTAATTTTTTCAACTAAATGTAACAATTTCTTTAAATTTTTATTACATTTTAACAGTATAATCAATTAACTTAATTAGTCACTAATATATTATCTTCAAAACTACTCAATTTTTATGAGCATTGAAGAGCTAGATGAAAGAAAATCTTAACTCAACTAGTGAGGGATGAATGAGAAAGATCAAATATAACAGGATTCAAATTTTTCAAATACTTAACAAATAAGTATGTTCAAACTGATATAATCTTGTCATTTTTACACTAATCTATTATAATCACTGGAGAAAACGACTGTAGATACAAATTCTGAACAAAATATAATAAAACCAACCACGATGATGATTGTATAACACCATCTTGTCTCAAAAATGCAAACAGAAATTGTCTATGGATTGTGTAACCCAACACAAAGACAAGTGGAAAAACTCAGCTACAAGTTAATTTAAATACCCAACTGCCTAAGTTTGAAACAAGTTCTATTTGATCTTAAGATCAAAACATTTATAAATAGCAAAAAGAGTAGATTGATTAAGGGAAGAGGAAGATTGGCCTTAGAAAAAGAATTAATTTTAATGAATGACTGAAACTGTGTTAAAAAATAAACAAGATAAGAATACAAGTCCCAAAGACTCTTCCTTGCATAAAAACAAAGTGCATACATATGTGTCTAATACCTTTTCCCAGAGAGCACAGTATTATTCACTGCTCCTAGGAAGATGACTGGAGAGTAACACATTGATATAAGATAGAAAGCAAAGATAATCTGATCCTAGGCAGAAATACTGAACTATGAGAAGATGCTGAGAATTCTCATTTCATAAAATTGCTCCAGTATCATTTGGACCATGGATATGAAGTCCATGAGCAGCTCATATTTTGCAGCCCAGAATATAGTTGCCATCAATTTCTTCACTGACTTCTTCTATGCACTGTGTCCCTTCAGAACATTAGAAATCATTGCTTGACCTTTGTAGCCCTTAATAAATTTTGTCTTTTTGTGATCTCTCCTAAACTTTGCTCTGTTATCCATTTACTCAAGTTCACTAGGTATATTATTTGTGGTTTTCCTCTGTCCCTCTTGCTTTTAATATGTCCTGTGAGTATCAAATTTTCTAAGTTCTCTTTCTTCATTATGTGCCCTAGAAATGTCAACTATCTTTTCCCAATGTTAAGTATAAGTTTCTATTTTCTCTAAAACCTTGTTGTTGCTTACATAGTATTCTCAGCATCCTTCTGTAAAATCACATTCATGTTGCTTCAAGTCTCTTCATCTGTCTAGCATCCACTGCCATATAGGAGGGCTGTTATTGTGTAACAGTTCAGTACTCTTTTCTTCATTTCTAATAAAAAACATTTTTGATTCTTAATACTTTGCTTAGCCACTTAGAATATCTGGTGGTTCACTGATTATAGATTCTTCCAGCTTTTATAATCAATCATGGCTCTTTCAGATTATCATGTTTGAGATTCAATTGCCATTTATCCAGGAAGTGGTCTCATACAGATGTTGCTGTTATTGCAGAGGTGTAAGAGTCGCTTGATATTTACCTCCCTTGAGGAGGATATTTAGGTGCTTGTGCACTGATGGGACAAATGCATCAAGTTTGATGGTGAGTACATAGAAAAAGAGCACAGTTGCACTAGTAACATACATACAATACTTTATTTGTATTATAATAAACATATTGAATTAGTCAATGCTTATAGCTTACTTTTTTGACATCCTTTGCAGATTATTGTGTCATTTATAGAACATCTATATTACTATTACTCATACAGTGTGCGTGTGAGAAATATTTACAATGGATATAATGAAATGTAAAATGATTTGCAAGAAAACTTTTTAATTTTGTAAAAAGTAAAGCATAAATCAAAGAATAAAACTAAATAGGAAATCTAATCATCAAAATGAATCCTTGTATTAAACTCATGACAGAGAAGCATAGGCAATAATACAGATGAAAACTGTTTGCAATGAAATCCTTTTAGATCAATATAAAAAGAGCAAAAAATGTTTTATGTTGAAAGGAACATCACTTTTGTTTTTTTTTATAGTACAGGTTAAGAATCCTTTATCTAAAATTCTTGGAAGTGCTTCAGTTTTCATATTTTTTTTTTTTATTTTGGAATATAGGTTAATTTGTATATAGAATCTATTGATAAACATAAATGCTTTTCATTTTTTTCTTTTCACTACCCATATGGGTATCTTTTTTGACATTTTGAATATTATCTTTACTGAGCATGAAACACCTGGTAAGTAAACCACGAATTAAGGTATTGCTGTGACGATTGCTAACAAAAAACTGGTGGTTATGTAGCTGGGTTGGGGACCCCCACCTCAGTGCAGATGAGGTCACTTACAATAGCTGCACATCACTTAGGAACCGTCCCAGTGCTCTCTGAAATTTTCCATTTGTGGCAAGTCACGTCAGCACTGGAAAAACTTTCAGATTTTGGAATTTTGAATAAACATACTCAACCTGTATATTTATTTCAAATATAACATTTTTGGCAAATTTTAAAACTCAACACAGAAAGGTAATTGTCAAACTATGAGCATATTTATATATTCTACAATTTCAAAAAGTTTAGCTTTAAATTTTTATTTCCTGAATCAATTTCCATTTCTTTCATCAAGTATATGGTAGATAACAATCTTATCTATGTTATACTATGACAAATATCTTTTTCATACCATGCTTATAAACATGTTGTACAATCACCTAAGTTAAGCAACATCAAGCCTGGTCAGTACCTAGATTGGTGACTGCTTGGAAATACCAAGTGCTGTAAGCTTGGATGTTCTGGTAGTGTAATGGATAATGGCTTGGAATTGGAAATATGAGAGCCAAGTTCCAATTCCAGTTGGGTTTGTTATATTCACTCACATGCAAATACATTTGTAAAAAGTATGAATCCACCTCCACTCCCTCCAGCTATGGGTTAATTAGTAAAATTTGCATCAGTAAAAATCAATCTAAAATATTTTCTAACTTTAAATAACCTGCAAAAATGTTGATAAACTGTAAAAAAATAAATAAATCAATCATGCATATAAATTTACTAGCAAACATATCATAATAAATAAAAAAAAAACAATGACTGGTTAATCACATGCCAAAAACATGAGTATATGTGTTTGTGGTGGATGACTATATTAACATTTTAATAATTTCAAGTTTGATTTCTCAGCTAAAAATATCAACAAGAAAATTACTTTAAATAGTCATAAACTGTTCATGATAACTTTTTTATGCTTATATTCAAAAGTGAACTATAAAAAGTAAAATATGGTATTCAACTTACAACTCAGCCATTAAAGCATACTCTTGGGTACATTTACTGAGTTCGTTCAAAGTTTTTGATCCTGGAATTGATTTCTCCTCTGCTTGGGCAGCTCCATCAGATGTTGCTTGCTGGTTAACTTCTGGCATTGTTGGGATTGGAGGCAGCATTTTGCGGCCTTCCCGAACTGCCATCACACCTCAGGGACTGCTTACAGGCTAATGGAAACAAAGTAAATAATATAAATCCATGACAGATAATGGTGTTTGTAACAGTTTTGTTAAAGAAAAAAAAGAAAAAAAACGTGAAAATCTTGACAATAATATGAAAATATTTTTCAAAGACACAAATTTCCAGAATATTGTTAATAGCACAGATTATGTAGATATTGGTATGCACAAATAGTGCAGCAGTTATTGGTGCAAGAAGTCAAGTCGGTGAGCAGAGTTCAATTTCTGGTCTAGTTGTATTCACTTTTGTACAGAACAACTATTCTAAAAACTATTCTAATTTGAAAACTGTGGAGAAGTTAACAGGAAACCACTATCTTTCTCAAGAAGTTATGTCAATTCATAGATAATATAGAAAAGAAATATGTGTTAAGTCATGATTTTTTACATTCTGAAGGGACATGGTATTAATAAAGGCATATGTATACATTACCAAGATATGACCTTAGTCTTGTACAACTTGGCCTTGTTGATGATGAATTATTTTCCACCCTATAACCTCTTTCCCAAACAAAACATTGCAAGCCTTTTGCCACTATCATTATGTCCATGGAAAGTGTTCAGATGAACTACATTACTTAATTCCACCAGTTCTAACCTTCACATCTAATTACCTTCATATTCCATTAGTGAGATGCAAGTTCCACTCAAATAGCTTCTTCCTATATATAACTACTGTGTAAATGACTCCCAAGAGAATGCTTTCCTGATCACTACAATATTAATCTGTTAAAGTCTAGGGTTAACTGTTATCTTCCCCACATATCCCTGTAAGCTATGCATTTTATTTTGTAACCCTCTACCTAGAGGGACTCTTAGGCCTTGTATAGGGTCAACATCCTTGTAAAAAAAAAAGAAAAAAAAAGGCCATAATAAAATGCACATGCTGCTGAAAAAGTCCTGGCTCAATTGAGAAGGAAAGGATCCAAAGCTATGAAATGTAGATGCTATTCCAGATTTACTCTGAACTTTAATAAACTTGGCACATTGTTTCTCAAGATTTTTTAACCCTTAAAAAAAGTTTTATGTTTGGTCAATGAAACACTGCTCTGTTGCTGATATCACTATTGTATAATTTAAAACATTTTCTCATTTTAAAACACTTTGAAATTTGGGAAAAGGGAAAAAAATGAAAGAGAGCAAGATATGTTGAGTAAGATGGATTATCTGTGCACTCTATCCAAAAATGTATCAAAACATTGTCATGTGAGTCTTGTAAGCAGGTGCATTGCCCTCTAAAAAGAGAACACTTACTCATAGTTTTTCTTTCAGCATTTCTTTTAATCAGTACAGCAAGTAGTATTCTGCATGAACTGTTTGGTCCTTCTAAAAATAGTCAGTTATACTGACCTTACACACCCCCAAACGAAAAAAACATGGCTATATGATCTTTCTTGCTGACTTACAGGGCTTGAATATCTTCAACTGTAGAGAACCAGCAGAGTTCCACCACTGTACAAACTGTTCTTTGGTTTCTGGATCATAACAGTGTGACCAGGTCTCATTATCAGTTCCAACAAATTAGATCAATTAGAAAATATTACCAAATCAACTTAGAGCTGTCCTCTCAATATCATTTCTGGTTGACATTCAAACATTTTGGCACCTACTTAGCAGACAGATTCCGCATACCCAACTGCTAATGAATTATAAACCAAATATGTTCTCTTAATATCTCTCGTGTTTCAGCATTTCTTCAGATTTGTTGATTTTCCCAAATTAGGACATGAACAAATTCAGAAGTTGATACCATTATGAGCTTCCCAGACTTTGCTGCATCTTAGCTGTCAACATCTTCATGCTGAAAATTGGCACATGACTTTTTCAGGTTTAAGTATGACAGGCACATGTCACCTGATGTCAGTATCTTAAACACATAAGCAAGAACTTTATGATGAACCAGAATTCAACCCATGAAAATTTCACAATTTCTGTTGACATTGTTTGGATAATGATGTGAGACAAATTTAAGAATAAGGGAAAAAATCCTGCAAACTGACACTTGACAATATAAACAAACACCTTTTTCAGCTACAATGACAAAGAGAAAATAGCACTCAGATCTTGGGAAGTGGGTAAAGTGAAAAAAAATTTCAGCATACTTTAGTAGTAAGGACTCATAGTAATAAAATTCATCTGTAATAAATGACTTATGAATCTAATGTGGAAGTCATCATTCACAAACACACCAGACAGACATTAACTAAGTTTAACTTAACTTATAATATAGAGTCACAATAGGGTAGCCAGTTAAAATTGACTTCATTACACCAGCAAACAAGATGTACATGAAGATATTTACTAATCTTAGAGCCACCATAAGCTAGAGGGATTCTGAATTAGAATAAAAATTATTAGCAGTAGTTTGTTATCACTTGTGAATTTTTTTGTAAATGCGCATGAAATGCGCTGTTAATTCAAGAATTAATGTTATCTAAGGGAGGTAACTTAATTTATATTTGTAAATTTAAAAAAAAAAAATTACATGTATTTGTGAAGGCACAGGAAATTTTGTTCTGATTTCCACTATCTACAAGCATATAAGATGGCATTTTAGTTTTGAGATTAACACTTCTGTTATACAAGAAAAAGAAACCAATGTGTCATGGTTTTGAGTATTTGCTAGTCCAGAGCAATAGAATACAAAGGATTAAGTATTGATTAAATAAAATCATGTTTATTTGGAGAAAAATTTAGCTAAAAACATTTGTAGATTTTAGAGGAAAGAAAACCCAGTTAGGTGAACAGTTTAGTGTTGACAGTGAGTGAACTGATCTGACTCATGGGTAAATATGAGGCTTTCAGATTAAATTATAGCAGCAAAGGTCAAGGTATGGTGAATAAAAATAAAAATCATGACAATGAAATAATTATGCTTAATATCTATAATTTCAATTATTCATCAATTAATAAGAAAAAAAAAATTAAAGTAAAAATTACTTCCTCATTATGACTACTTTTAATCCTTAAAGTTGTATACACATTTATATTAAAAGAAAAAAAAAAAGAACTATTTGTAGAGATGAAAAAGAAAAAAAATGAAACAAACAATTTCCATAAAGGCAAGAGAATACAAAGGATTAAGTATTGATTGAATAAAACCAGGTTTATTTGGAGAAACATTAAGCTAAAAACATTTGTAGATTTTAGAGGAAGAAAACCAGTTTAGAAGATTAAAATGACTCTACATCTGCTGGATCTTACAAGAGTTAATATTTTGAAAAAACAAAATACTCATAAACACTTTAAACCTAGTATATCACAATCTTCAATGACTTAGGCCAAAGATACTTAACAAAGAGTAACTAAATAAATAAATTTTAGATACAACATTCTTACTAAAATATAAATCAATTTTTAAAATATATTGTTCTGTATTCAGTAGCAACTATGTTTTACATAAAAGAATTCTTCTTGATATAATAAAAAGTATAATTCGCAGGTGGGCCATGCTGCAATCAATAGAATAGGTAATAAAAATAGAAAACAGTTTTTCCTGAAGCCCTGAATATAAATTTAACAGGGAATAAACAAATTGAGTATTGTTACTGAGTGACATTTTTATTTACTATGATTCACATCTCTTTTTTAATTTTTTTTTTGCTACTGTTATTCACTAAAGAAAAGGTGGGGAACTGACTGGCTAGATCAACATGGCAAACAAAAAAAAAATCACTTAAAAAATTTAATCACTTAAATACAATTATTTTTAAGTAAGCTTTACCATATTTGAAAATTCAAAGTTTATACACACAATAAAGATGCATGTTGAATAAATATTCAGTAGCTCTCAGAAAATATCAGATGGCATAACTTTTTATCAGACATTTCCACGTTTAGCACAATTGTTAGAGAAGAGAATCAATAGCTGAAAAGTCAAAACATCTATTATTGACAATGACAAAATATTACTGTTTAGCTCAGAAAGAAACAAAAATTTTATTTCAAAATTAAGTGATTGATATGGTACTTCTAAAATGTTCACTATTCATAATTTGTCCATAAGGTAGAGCTATCTGTCTTTGTTGGCAAGATCCTCAAATCCTGTATGGATTTCAGTTAATGAATACAGAAACTGAAATTGTGTCAGTCACTCATAAAAAACATACCTGTGTATATAATTTGTGTGTGTTTGTATATACCATTTTCTAGTATAAAGTAAATTTTTTCCAATGAAAAGTAAAAATAATTTGGCTGGAAAAAATTTACTAGACTGGAAAATGGGGTGTGTGTGTGTGTGTGTGGAAAGAGAGAGGCGGGATGAAGGAAGACATGCAAATGTTGGCATTTGTAACATATAATACATATTGGAGCTTCATCTAAGCTTCTCGAAACTAATTAAACTTTATCATAACAGAAAAAATTATGAAATGTCATGATGAGCCAATGTAACATTATTATAAATTATACACCAAATATCTAAGACTAAAATTGGAGGGGATGGTAAGCGGAAGTGTCATGGAGGTACAATATATATGATTATCATTGATATGATGATGAGAACAAAAACAGATTGCATCATAAGAAAGAATGGTGATATGACGTCTGGCTTTAATTGTTATGACTTCTTAATAGAAAGTTTAATAAAACCTACTTGAGACATGTCATCATTTTGCTGTACAAAAAAATCCATATTCCATGGTATGATTTTGAAAGCTTACTTAGTTATCAAAGGAAATCCTTTGGTCAGTCCATACCAAAACTTCAAGAAGTCTGCACTATTAGAGTTAAATTTATCATAGACAGTTGTGGAAGGCAGAAGATCAATCATCTTTATAAAAAGTCATTGTTATCAATGTCTTTCAATTTTATCTTCAAGGAATGGATTATCCAAGAGGTAATATTATCAAACATCAAAGTTGCTTTTTAAAACAACCAGTTGGTGACAATTTTGCCTTAAAGTTGTACATTTTATCCCAAGTGTAACACTATTTCCTTGCATTTGAACATTGAGCCAATTTAAAAGGAGAAAAAATATCTGTCAGGTA